GTACCTCTGCCTGGGCTCAGTCCACCGCCTGGCTCCAGGCTCTCTCACCATGGCTTGTATGTGGAGAGGGTGTCAGGGGCAGGGACCTTCCTCCTGCTCCTTGCATATCCTTTGCCCCACCCTGGGCCTTGCTCAGATGCTCGGTGGATGCACCCAGGTGGAAGAGGAGCGTCGCAGCTTTGTACAAAAGACCTCTGGGGGCAGGGTCGTAGGGCACCTGGCTTGGGGGTCTGGCCTTCTCAGCCCTTCGCCCTTTCTAGAATGATGTTCCTGAGAAATGATGTTCTTGCAGCAAACAATCTGCATCAGCTGGACCCAAAGATTCACATAGGCTCAGAAAGAGCCACAGAAGATTCTAGGTAAGGGGAGACAGTAAGGGGAGATGCTCATTAGGCTAGGGGCTTTGCAGATTCCCTGTATCTGAGCACAGTGTCTGGGTTTCTAGCTGGTGGTGCGGCCAACTTGAAAAGTATTGAGAGAATCACTCCTGACAACCGAAATGTAGAGCTCATACCTCCCCCACACCAATGCCTGAGGTGGGTGAAAGAACCGTGCGGAGTCCCGTGCCTGCTGGAGATGAATTGTGGAATAACTCTGAAGTCCTTCTGCCTCTCTGCCCATATCCTCTCCTTGCCCGGGTCCTTGGGGGCGTTTGATATTCTTTTATGAGCCTCTGGAGGAAAAGCTTGTGTTCCCACCCTCTAGGCTCAGTGAGGACAATCCAGAATGGACTTCTCTAGTCTAGAAGCCCTGCTGGCTTATATCTTTTGTTAAATGGGAATTAAAAGCTAAGAGTAAACACACTATTTCGAGTTAGATACCTGTTACCCGCTGCTACTTTTAAGTCAGTCCTGGGGTCATTAAAGGAGTTAATATAAGTAAGACCATTTCTAAAAACATGAAGGGCTATGGAAATGGAAAATACGGGTATTAACATGATTGCCTGCTGAAGATCCTATGATCCATTAAGGAGTAAATCTCAAAGAGCCTGGGTGCTCGAGATTACTGCGTGTGCGTGTGTGTGTGCACATGTGTGTCTGCCCATGGGCACGTGTGTGTATATATTTGCATGTACGTATGTGCACTTGTTTGTGCAAGAGGCAGGGAGGGTGAGACAGACGGTAAGGGGAGATGCTCATTAGGCTAGGGAGTTTGCTGTCTGAGGGGCTGGGTTCAGATCCCAGCCCCAGCACTTCCTAACTAGGGGACCCCCATCTGTGCTTACATGTGGCCTGCTGAGCTTTTCTCGACAGTGTGGGGGGAGGAAGGAGGGTTTATACACCTGCAGGAAGTGTAGTTTCATAGAGGCTGAAGTGGGAGCCAGAATCCCAACCACTGGATGTCCTTGGTGAGCACAGACTACCTGCCTTATAGGAAGGTACCTGCCCCACGGGGCTGCTCCATCGTGACTGTCCCAGGGCCATAGCTAGGATGCAGATGGGGGCCATAGGGGGCTTGATTGCTCTTTACCCCCCACTCTGACCACCTCCTTAGGAAGCTGGCCAGGAGGGGGCCTCCAGCCACACCCTTTGGTGTTAAGGGAACTAAAAGAGGGTGGCCAGAGTGCCACATTCTTGCTGGAGGGCCCAAGAGGGGCTCAATATGGGGGAAGCATGATGCCAAGCCCTGTGACTCAGGGGAGGGGCCAGCATTCAGCCCCAAGGGACTGGCGTCAGTGCGGGGGCTTCTCACCCCCCGTTTACCCAGCAAACACTCCTGAGACCTTGCTGATGTCAGCTACAATCTGAGGAGGAAGACCTAGATGCCCAGGCCTGTCCGTAGGGAGCCTGGAGTCTGGGAGCGGGGCAGACCTGTCAACAGGTCATCACCCCCCTGCCATTTTAACAGCTGACCAGAAAACACCGCCAGCTCCCACATCCATCACACCAGCTCATTAAGGCCATGTTGTCTGTCACAGGCTCCAAGTGTTGTCCTCCACCCGCATGGCTGAACTGAAAGGCCTCAGGCTCTTTTTAAAGGACCTGTAATCCCCGGAGTCTGAGGTGCAGTATCAAGGGGCGCGGAGCGATCGGTTCCCTCCTCCGCCAGAGGTTAAACCCATGAGTCCTCATTAGCATTTTTCCAGACCACAGGAGAGACATAAGGCAAATCAACGGAAACTAACATTATTTGGGTTTAGGGATTTAGCCAACTCTTTTATCAGTATGTCGACTTTTAATTAGGGGAGAAAAATCTGTAGGAAACGATGTTCGAGTCTTGGGAGTTTCAAGGGGCAGCGTGTCCCCAGCCCCTGGTCCAGACGAGGCAGAGATTTGTGGCGCTCCCCACCCCCAGTGAGCAGCCGTATTTATGAAGCTTTTAGCCCGGAGACACCCTGTCCCTTCTCATTCCTTCTCCCGAGGCCTGGCAGTGGATGGCAGAACTAATACCATCATTTTATCGGGGAGACAACTTAAGCGGGGTAATTACAGCATCACGCGGTGTCCTAGTTTTGTTAAATTATTCCTGTGGGCAGTGGGTGGAGAAGCAGCTGGAGAGCCGAACGCCCTGGGTCGCAGCCCGTTCTGGTGGACAAGGGGTGGCAGGCACCCCTTACAGCCACAGACCCAGGCGGGCTCAGCCAGGTGTTCTGGGCTCCCGTCTGTCTCTTGCTAAAGCCGCTCGCCTCCCTGAACACACAGGCATCTGGTTCCACGCTGGAAAAGGGAACTTCAGGAGGACATACCTAAAACTTAGCCTTCCACTTCCTGGCCAGGAAACTGCTCCTTGTGGTCACAAGTGGGAGTTAGTTTTGCAGAGTCAGGAGCTCAGCCTCCCTTCCAGCACCTGGATTTATCGAGACCAGGTGCCCGACGCCCTGTGAGCACCCGTGCATTGCAAACAGCGTTCCGAGGGTTTTCGTGTCCTGCAAATTTCCAGGGAAGGGGTCCACAGCCTTTATTAGTTTCTCAAAGGGGCCTGTGACCCCCAAACAGTTAAGAACCACTAATCAGAATCTTCAATCCCTTTTGCATCCTTCCCAGACTGCTTGTAAGCAATGCTCGGATTTCCCGCCACAGGTCCTTTATGGCTAGCGTGGGGAAAATTATCTGCACTGTTAAATAGGCCTGGCCCGATGCACAGTCTACAGATGATGCAGGTGTGCCTTTCTTCCTTTTTTTTAAAAAAAAACGACTGTTTAATTCCAGTTTATGTATAGACAAAACAAAAATTAACTTTCTGCTTAGAAACAACATCAGTTCAAACATGATTTGAAGGACATAAGAAAACCTTTAAGTCATGTCTTTGACTACTCAGCCCTTAAATTTTGTACGTATTATATTTTAACTCTCTCATAGCAAATCTGAAGCTAAACAGGAATATTCTAAGTGTTTTCCCAGAGGCTTATGGAGATGTGATAGCATTATATGCATTTACAACGTGATAACATATCACCTTCCTTTCTGACAGCCACAAAAAGTTGCTCCGGGTCGGAACATACAAGCCGTGCTGAGGGCATCATCAGATTACTTCACTGATTTGTAGGGGAGAAGAACAGGAGAGACTTCAGTTTTTTAACGCAGTAACTCTCAAAGCTCTTTGGTTTGTCCGTGGCTCATGAGGGAAAAGGCAGGGTCAGTCAGTGTTCTGTGATGCCCCAGGCACGTGTTATCTGGTTTCATCCTCGCGGCCAGCCCTGTGAGCCCATTCTGCAGAGGGGCACACTGAGGCAGTAGGGGGTTACATCACGCACCCGGGGGCACACAGCCAGGGTTTGAGAGCCTCTGGCTTCAGAGGCTTCAGAGCCTCTGCTCGATCTGCTCCCCTCCCTGACAGATACCAGCTGTTGTTCTGAACCTAGGCAGGGAAAAGCCCAGCACTCCCGGCAGGAACAGTGGGCTGGCAGCCGGGCCGGTTTTGATGGGAAATTGGAAAAGAAACCTGGGCATTCTAGAACTACTTTAAATTTGGTGACTCAAACCGTTTACAAGTTTGTTATATCCCCTCCCCACCCCCCACCACCTCCTGTGATGTGGGCAGGGTCCTGGGGTCTGGGAACCAGGAAACTGAGGCTTCAGAGGGTCTGAGGGAGCCGGGTTTGGGTAGAGAAATGAGGACACAGGGAAAAGCTGGAGCCCTCAGGGAAGGAGGCTGGGGTTCACCCTCTGAGTCTGTCACAACTCTCTGACTCCCACTGCCTGGCCGGATGTCGCACCCCGGGCTGGTCCCAGGACCGGGATGCCGGCAGCGGGGTTCCTCCGAGGGTGGTGGACTCCCAGCCTGCCCTGGGCCACTTCACCATGTGAGCAGCTCACGTCCTGTGTCCCCCGTGGATGGGGAAAGGGACACACCATCGTGGTGGGGCGCATGCTTGCGGAGCTGACTGCCTAGGTGGAATCCTGGCTTCTCTGCTCCCAGGCAGGTCCCGTGTACTCTTAGGTAAAATGGGAATATCGGGAAAAGGAAGGCACCTGACCCACAGAGCTGTGGGAGATCGAGGACATGATGCTTGAGGACCATCCGGCCTGTGGTTGCCCCTGCAGGCCCCCGGCCAGCCTGCGACAGGACAAACAGTCCAGGACAGATGGGCATCCCAGGCCTCAGCAGGGCCCTGCCACCCTCCATGACCTCCTAAGGACATTAGTGATGACCTGTGGCCCCTTCATATATAGACCCTGGTATCTTCATCTGGCAGGTGCCTCAGCAGGCCCGTGATGGCCGGTACCACAAGGGCCTCCGTCAGCCCATTCTACTACTCTCTTTCGAGGTGGCTCTCCAGGCCCCGCCGTGCTCACCAGCATGGCCCAGCCACGCAACCGTGCCCTGGTGTGGGTATGGCAGGCAGGGGGAATGGACAGTTGGCTCTTTATGCCTAAGGGCAGGTGAGCCACAGGCCTCTCTCCAGAGGGCCCCTTGCCTTCAGAGTCTCAAAAGATACATTGACTAGAGTGGGGGGTTCAAACTTGGGGCTGGCCTTTGGGAACAGTGGGGTGGGGGGCATGCCTGGCCGGCAGGTCCTGTGCTGGTCACTGAGAACTCACACCAAGTTTGTTTTCCAGGAACTTGGGCAAGTCGGGACTGAGGGTCTCCTGTCTGGGGCTCGGTGAGTGTAGGGGCCCCCTTGGTCCAGTGCCACCCAAGGAGGCAGGGGCTTTGGGAGGGCTGAAGGGCCCAGCCCTGGGGGTGAGGGGATGGAACCAGCAGGTTTGGAGGGATGGTGAGGCTCGGTTGCTGTGGCAACCAGGGGAGGGGAGGGGAGGGGAGGAGAGTCCCAGCGGCCCAGTGCACACACAGACCCCTGCCTCACAACAGAAAATCAGAGAAGCACCCTGGCCCCAGGTGTGTCTGGAGAGCATCTTCTCTCCTTACAAGACTGAGTCCTCACTGAGGGCAGTCAGATTTTGCCCTTTGATCTAGACTTTCCCCAGATGTGAGCTCTGTTCTCAGCATACACGGGCCCTCCTCCTCCTCCATGGTACCTACAATGTGCTCCTGACACACCCTTCAGCCCTCAACACACACACACACACACACACACCACCCAGCAAGCGCGAGGGCATGGCTGTCAGACCTGGGCCGTTTTCAGGGAGGCATCCCTCATCCTGCTGCCTAGGGCAGGTCACCAGAATAGGAGCCGATTGGCTTGAGCCCCAACAAGCATTTCAAACACCTGCAGCCCTTCCTGTTCCCCGGTTTGGTGCCCCCAAGACAGGGAGACTTGCCCTGCAGGCCAAGTGTCCCCACATGCCGAGGACATGCTCACCGCAGAGCAGAGTGGCATGCTGGGCTGTGGCTGCCCCCCAGGCCCTGCAGCCTGAGGATGGAGCACCCTGTGGGGCCGGGGGCGGGGGGGAGGCAAGTTCCCTGGAGAAGTTCTCTGACTTGAGCCCATGTGTCTCCTTCCAGGAACATGGGTGACCTTCGGAGGCCAGATCACCGATGAGGTAAGGCGGGGCTCCCGCGGGCCCCAGGTCCCAGCAAAGGCTAGCCACGGCGGGCACCTGGTAGAGTCCACCGCATGAACCACGGGCCCGTGCTCACGGGGCCACTGCAGCCTCCCCCGTGCCACTCCTCAAGGGTGCCATGGCCCTCTGGGGCAGCAGGAAGGGTGAGGGGGGAGCCATGGCAGGGTTAAAAGATGCCAAATCTGGTGCCTGCACTTCACAGCTGGGTGCCTTGGGGCGCCCGTGAGTCCCCAAAAGGCCCAGAAACTCAGGTTCCTCATCTGTACAACGCTCAGTCCCTCGCTAGCCAGGAAAATCCAGGGAGGCCATCGTTTCCAAATCACACAGCCCCGCGTCTTTCTAAACTGCTTGGACAGAGTACCCCCACGCGGATTTGAAACTTCAGTACGCATCTGCTGAGGTCATTTAGGGTGCAGATTCTGCAAATTTTGCTGCAAGCTGAAGATTCTTGAGTCGCTTTACCCAGCCCCTAGCTGCTCCTTTCCCACAGCTGTCCTTTATCCTGTGCACTCGCTGGGGCTCCTCTTTTCAGAGCCGGGCGGTGTCGCCAGCGTCTGTGGGGGAGGGGCCGGTGCATCCCCAGGCCGGGGTGCACTTCTGGGCAGCGAGTGATTATCTGGGAAGGTAGAGCAGGGGCCTTTGCTCCAAGAGCTCTGGACCTCTGCACACGAAGCTGTCCTCACGTCTGCCCTACTTACTCTCAGAAAGGTTGCATTTAAAAATTAATAAGTGCGTTCATCTGAGACCTTGTTAGCTGTGATTTCTCAGTTAGTTTTCAAAGGAAAAGCTTTGCTTCTGTCAAAATCTAAATGTATTTAATTTGTGCTTTTGTCCCTTTTTCCTTCTGTGACAGTAGCTGGTTGTAGAATGCCTTGCCCTTGTTCTGAGGCTCTGGCTCTGGACTATCTCAGGAGAAAGGAGTTTTGAGGTGCAGGAAATTGCTTTGCCTTTAGCCACCAGATTGGTTGCAAGCACTTGGCATAGAAGGTTGGAGCCCCGGAGTCCTTCGTGGTTCACCCGAAATCAGTAGTGTCTGACTCACCTGTTTCCCTTTCACTGTGGGGAGGAATGACTTCATTTCCAAATCGCATTTGCTACCCTATGTGTGATGCCCTTGTGAGAAAGACACAGAGAAGTGGCTGGATGGTGACCATCCAACTTAGGTGATTTTTTTCACCAACAGATCCATTGCACCCAAAGAGTATTGATTAATGACCCAGTGGTGGTCCTGGTGGCTCCGGCCTCTGCCGGTCTCCATCACGTAGACAGTGACATGTGTGAAGATACTAGAAGTTGTTTCCAGATGACACAAAGCTGGGAGGACAGCAGATACAATAGATGACAGACTCGGGTTTCTCAAAGGTCCTGGCAAGTGAAAACGATTGAGCAAAGGAGCAAGCAGAATTTTCGTATTAAATCCTACAGTCAGCATCCAAAAAAAATCAATACGTCAAGTATGAGGGGCCCACCTCACCACGGTTCAGATGAAGAACAGCCACGTTTTATTCTTTTTTTTTTTTTTCAAAGACTTTATTCATTTGACAGAGAGAGAGACACAGAGAGGGAACACAAGCAGGGGGAGAGGGAGAAGCAGGCTCCCCACTGAGCAGGGAGCCCGACACGGGGCTCGATCCCAGGACCCTGGGACCACGACCCCAGCCGAAGGCAGACGCCCAACGACTGAGCCACCCAGGCGCCCCAAGAACGGCCACGTTTTATTCTTTAGCTGGCTGCCTGCCCTGTCCAAGCCAGCAGGGTTGGAACTACGGGGAATCCAGGACCATCCCGGGACCACAGAGGAACATGTGTGCTGCCCCAAAGTGGGGAGGCCACGAGCCCCCTGGGCATTCCAGATGGGTGCCCCATCTGGAACACCAGGTTCCTTGCTAAGCCCGTGTCCAGAGGAAGGTGGGTGGCCTGCCAAGGAATCCAGAAACAGAGTCCTGTTTTCAGGGTTACCTTTTGTGTGCAAGACACCTTGATGCCAGGGAGACACAGTAATGAGGACGGGCTGGGCACCTGGGTGGCTCAGTAGTTAAGCGTCTGCCTTCGGCTCAGGTCATGATCCCAGGGTCCTGGGATCGAGCCCCGCATTGGGCTCCCTGCTCCGCGGGAGGCCTGCTTCTCCCTCTCCCACTCCCCCTGCTTGTGTTCCTGCTCTCGCTGTCTCGCTCTCTGTCAAATAAATAAAATCTTTTAGAAAAAAAAAAAAAAGAAATGAGGACGGGGTGGATTTAATGTGGCAAAGGGGAGTCCGTGGCAGGACTCCGCAGGTGTCCGTGAGCAACGGTCCACAGGCCAAATCCGGCCCTCAGCCTCGTCTTTTTTTTCTTTTTCGTTTTTGGTTTTTTTTTTTTACTTTTAATTAAATATACGAGACATAAAATTGGCTATTTTCACCCTTTTCATTGTGGTAAAAAAATGCATAATGTAAAATTTACCCTATTAACCATTTTTAAGTGTACAGTTCCTGGTATTAAGTACATTCTCTTTGCTGTGCAGCCATCACCACGGTCTGCCTCCAAAAGTTTTCATCACCCCAAACAAAACTCTGTAACCATGAGGGAACAACTCCCCAACCCCTGGTAACCTCTACTCTGCTCTCTGTCTCTATGAATTCCACAACCCTTTCTTTTATAAATAAAGTTTTATTGGCAGGCAGCGACGCCCATTCATTTACATATGGCCTGTGGCTGCTTTTCCGTTTTAAGCTGCCACAGAGACCATCTGGCCCACAAAGACTAAAGTGTGTAGTCTCGGGCTGTTGCCTGTCCCCTGTCTGCAAATGTCTGTGGGGCTGTGGCCCTGGGGATGGAGTCCTTGGGGGCCGGGCAGAGCAGAGCCAGCCCCCAGAGGAAGCAGACACTGTTAGTAAACCTCCGATCACGTGGCCAAATGTTGGAGCTGGCCTGGTCAGAGTCAGGTTTCCAACCTCTAGTCCAGTGTCCTTTGCGTGACCTCACATGGCTGCTCAAGTAAAAAAACTCCTGAGAGCGTGTGCTCAGAGCAGCCTGGGCATTAGAAATCTAATAAGGACAGTAGCTACAAACTTTATATTTGTTATGGCACTCGGCCCTCTATCAACCCAGGGAGGCAGGTGCCATTGCCCCATTTGGAGGCAGCAAAGTGCCCGGGGTCTTAACTGGAGAATCGTGAACGGGGAATGGCACCTCGGCGCCTGCCTCAGAGCCCACAGACAGCTCCCCGCTCGGGGGGTGGGATGGACTCCCCTGGCCCCCAAGTAGGGACGGCAGGGTGGAGGCCCACATGTCTTCTAAAGTTCCTCCTGCCTTCGTTTCGGGAACTTTGACATTGGAAAATTCCGAACAGTCTCAAAATAAAGGCTCCGTCACATCAAGTAGGACGCACCCACAGAGCGCAAGTCTTTAGGGGTCACGTTTTAAAGAATGACATGCGGACAGGCCCAGGAGCGAGCATGTGGAAAACAGCGCCGACTGTGGTCTGTATGTGAGGACTGCAGTCTTGCAGCGAAAAAGCATATGTTCACATAGAAAAACCTGAAAGAGGGGGCATCTGGGGGGCTCAGGCAGTTGAGCATCTGACTCTTGATTTGGGCTCAGGTCATGATCTCAGGGTCGTGAGATCGAGCCCCACATCGGGCTCCATGCTCAGCCAGGAGTCTGCTTGAGATTCTCTCTCTCCCTCTGCCCCTCCCCCCCCACCCCCACTCATGCTCGCACACACCCTCTCTCCACCCCCCCACCTCTAAAATAAATAAATAAACCTTTAAAGAGAAGCCTGGAAGAGGAATTATACCAAAATCATAGCAAAACAATAAAACAAAAAGCACAGCATGGAAAATTCCCACCCCTCACTCTCTTTTCTCCCTGGCCTGGTGTGGTTAGGATCGTGTTTCCATCTTTCTGCTAAGTGACAGGTGAAATGGGGATGGGTGTCCTCTGTGTCAGAGCCTGCTGATCTTTCCTGTGTGGCAGGCCTCGCAGGGTCGGCTGGTGGAGCCAGCCAAGGACAGTGGCCGCTCGGCTCGCGCCTGCTGAGCACCTGCCAAGTGCCATCCCTGCTGTGGGCGGCTCTCTTTTGGAGAGAGGGACAGACAGGAAGCACATCTTATCTCCCAGGGCTAGACATGTCCAGTGGCTGCATTAACAAACTGCCACCATCTGTGTGGTTTTAGAACTAGAGAAATTTATTTTCTCATAGGCCTGGAGGTCAGAAGTCCAAAATCAGGATCACAGAGCTGAAACCAAGGTGTCAGCAGGGTCGCACTCCCAATGGAACCTCTGGGGGAGGAGAGTGGGATTCTTCCAAGCCTCCTCCGGCTTCTGGTGGCCACTTCATTCCAGCGTCTGCCTCTGTGGGCACGTTCCTGCTCCTCTGTGTCACATCTCCCTCTGCCTCCCTCCTATAAGGACACCCGTGGTGGCATTCAGGGTCCACCTGATAATCCAGGATCATCTCCCATCTCAAGACCCTTCATGTCGTCACATCTACAAAGACCCTTTTTCTACCCAAGAAACCATTCACAGGTTCCAGGAGCCATTATTTAATCAAACACAGAGAAAGGAGGACTGGGATGCAGGCTCCCATTTATGCAGGATGATCAGGGAAGGCGGAAGCAAGAGTGAGCCATGTGATGATTCAGAGAGAGAGCATTCTGGGCCAAAGGAACGGGACTGGACCCAGCCTCCAAGAGCCCACAGGAGGAGCCCCAGGTTGAGAGATGTGGGCAGAGGTGAGGGAGTAGACCTGGCGGGGACTTTGGCTTTGACCACTTGTGACATAGAAGCCAGAGAGGAAATTTGACCTGACTTCACTCAAAAGGCTCACTCTCGCTGCTCCACTGAGGTTAGGCTGCCCCGCAAGGATGAGGGGTGCTTCTCAAATTGGAATGTATGCACGAGTTCCCTGGAAATCTAGTTCCCTAGAGTTAGGGGCTACCACAGAAACCCAGCTGAGGGCATTCTGGCTTGGACCAAGTGGGTGCAGTGGAGGTGAGGGGCAGGAGGGTCCGATTCTGGATCAGCTTCAAGAAGGAGCTGACAGGACTGGTCGAAGGTGCTGATGCCAGAGTAAGAGAAAGATGAGTGAAGGAGATGCCCAGGTGTCGGACCTGAGCACAGGACGGGCAGGATCCTGCTCGCTGCCCTCCTCCACACACACCAGCCTCTCTGCCTGCAGCACCCCCTCCTCCAGCTACTCCTCGCCTTCCTGCCTGACCAACTCCTAACCACCCTCCAAACCCAGCCCTAGAAATGCTCACACACACTACAACATGGATGAACCCTAAAGGCCTCACGTTAAATTCATTAAGTCAGCCAGTCACAGGAAGACAGATACCATATGACGCAACCCAGGTGCAGTAACAAGGGAGTCAAAATTCTAGAAACGGAGAACAGATGGGTGGGCACCAAGGGCTGGGGGAGGGAGGAGTGGAAAGTTGGTGTTTCATGGGGACCAAGTTTCTGTTTGGGAAAATGGAGAGGTTCTGGAGACACGCACTGCTGATGGTTGCACAACATGAATGTCCTTAATGCCACAGAAATGCACCCCTAAAAATGGTTAAAATGGTCAGTTTTGTGTTATGCATGGTTTACCACAATTTTTAAGTTGTTGTAAATAATGTTTTTAAAAAAGAATGAAGATCTCCATGAACTAATATGGGTTGATTTCTAAGATGTAGTGTAAGTGGGAAGAGCAAAGCCCAGATGAACACCTAGGGCGTGCTGTTCTCCAGGTAAGCAAGATGGGTGTATAAGAAGATACACAGGGTCTGAAACAGGAAGATAATAAAAGCCCTCGTACTGAGTCGCCTCCGCCCAGAACCCTTTCCAGGAGGCAGCACATACCCCTGAATCGTCTGTATAACCTGGCTAGGGGCCCAGCACGGGGTACTCTCCTGTGCAGAGGTCAGGGGCTTGGTGAGACACAGCCCTGAAAAGTCAGGTTGAAGACAGAGATGAACAGGTGAAGGAGCCTGGGGTGCCTGGAGCATTGGAGAGGAAAAAAGGAGCCCCGGGGTGGGTATGGGAGGAGGAAGAGGGGCTCCCAGGAGTGTGCATGGATGCATCTGATACACGGTCACACTTGGAGGAGGGTGCATGGATGCATCTGATTCATGGTTACACTTGGAGGAGGGTGCATGGATGTGTCTGATACATGGTTACACTTGAGCTCCAATGGAGCCAACCAGCCCTGCAGATGGATCCAGAAAATTCCTCCACCAGTGGCCTTTCTTGCCCCTGGGCTTTCTGACTGAAATGACAGCTGCTAACTAATGGGGGTTAGCTTTGGCCTGCTCAGTATCAGAAATCTTTGGAGTTCAATGCCAGCATTTGAAAATCGGGAGATTTTTACCACCCCCAAATACCCTGGATCCCTGGCTTCTCTTGAAAAATCAAAAGATGTAGCCTCGCTGAGGTGCCTTCCCAGGGGTAGCGATTGAGTGTTGGTCCCCCCACCCCAGTGGTCCCCACTGGCCACCAGCCTCACTCTCCATACCTGCCTGGCCCATGGGGCGGGCTTCTGAGTTTGGTATTGGGAGAATCTCCACGAAGCCAAACATGGCTGACTTTTCGTCCCACAGTTTTTTGAGGGTTGTTAAGTATGACTCACTCCATTCTGGGTAGCTGGGGAGGGAGGCTTGGCACTCTGAGCTGAGCTTTGAGAAGTGAAGGGCGGGGGAGTTTGCATCTGTGACTCTCAAAGGGGCACCTACACCGTCCAGAGGACCAGCAGAGATCTCTGCTGCATCTTGGAGGGGCTGTTCATAGCAGGGGGCGCTTCCTCCGGCTCCTCGATCCTCACCCCCACTACCAGTGGGTCATTGCTGGGGGAGCGCAAACTCATCCTTAGAGCAGCCTGAGGAGCAAAATCTGGTGGAAGGGGTGTGCCGATTGGGCACCATTCATCAGCCTCTGCCTGCCAGGCAGTGGAGAAGTGCCTGCCGGGGCCAGAGTGCTCGCTGAGGATGGCAGTTTCTCCATCTGCAAACAATAATCGTACCGTCCCCGTCCCCATGTGGCTGCTGGGAAGGAATCGGGGACGTATAGCCGCAGAACACCTTCTAGCCACAGTTTTAAGGAGGGACTCCGCCTGCCAGGATCTATCCCACTCCTGTTGGGGGCTGTGTTCAACCCAGTACAGAGGCTAAGCCTTGTAATGACTCAACAGTTGGGGTCCCTGCTCGCATCAAACTCACAGCCCAGAGGCCCTTCCTTCATTCATTTTGTCTTCTTTCCTCCCTGTGGGTCCACTCTGGAGGGCTGCCTCCACATCTGTCCCGTGGCAGGAAAGGACAAGGGGAGCCCTGGGGCTGCAGGGCCTGGACATGCAGGAGGCACCCCAGGCCACAAGATTACGCCCTGGAGCCTCCCCCTGGCCTGGCAGGGCTGTGCTGCCCGCAAGCAGCTCTGGTTTTCTCATTTCAGATGGCAGAGCAGCTAATGACCTTGGCCTATGACAATGGCATCAACCTCTTCGATACTGCAGAAGTCTACGCGGCGGGCAAGTACGTGTCTTTTCTCCTGGGGACGATGTGATGCAGGCCACGGCTTCCCTGGGAAGAACCAGAGCTGCAGCTGCTCCGGTCCTTGGTCCCAAGCGTCCACAAATGTGCCTCGCACTCTGCCTGCTTTTTTAAACTTTGAATGGCCTTAGAGGGTGTTGTTTTCATGGGGCCAAAATTGCAGGACACTTGGACACTGGCCACTTGCTAAAGTCCCCCGTGTGTCCGAGCACCGAGATGACCCCGGTCCCTCCGGTGCCTCAGATGCTGTGCTGGGCAAGAGCCAGATTGGGCTGCGGTCCCAGGCTCTCCCGCTTGTCTGACATTCTTACGTCTTAATGGTACCGTGAGGGCTGCAGGGAACACAGGGCCTCTCGAGCTGCGGAGAGCTGAGTCTGGCCAGCCGAGCGCTGTAGGAAGCACTTCCCATCTTGGCGGTGAACTTCCCTCCTCAATTATGTAAAAGCCCTCTTCAGCCAAGGCTGCTGGCTTCAATTTTAAAGACTAGCTGTAATCAAATCATCCACTCTCCTGCATCGGGTTTCCAAAAGTCAGCTTTTGTTTGTGAAGTCATCTGTTGGCTCTCTGTTCGTCCTCCCTCCGGTCCCTCCTGCCTGGGGCGAGCCAAGTTCCCATCAGCTGGCTTGGCTGCAGCCTGGCTGGCTGTGCACCGTGGCCTCGGGGGCCGGCACCTGCCTCGAAGGCTCTGGGTTTTTACCTGCAGCTTGAGATGGGGCCCGGAGCACTGAGAATCGGGAAGCCAGCCGGGCCTTTCCTCAAGTCCCATTGCAGGGTCTGAGGACCTGACAGCTCTGGGGACCTCCACCGGGAGCCCCAAATTTCCTCCAGCCCCTATCGGCAGCCCTCTGCCCCTCCTGATGCTATGGCCCCCTCCCAAGCCCTCCATACTGAGGGCCTCTTCGCATCAAAGTGAAATGGTTTCCAGACAGATGAACCAAAGCCAGAGGGTCAGAGGTAGAAAAGCCCAATGCACATGCCCAGCCCACGGGCGTTGCTGGGCCTCAGCACCCCAGCCCATTCCCTGGCCCTGCTCCTGCCTCGGTTTTGCCGCCCGTGAGAGCATGCAGGAGGCAGCTCCGTGCAGCCTCCTCTGGCCCCAGACAGCCCAGCCCGTGTGCACCAGCCCTGCACACTCCACACTCTGTGTGCCCATCTTCACTTCCCCCTGATTAACTGGACCCCCAGGACTGGCATATCAGTACTAGGCAGCCTCGCCAGCAGCCGAGGACTCAGAGAGCAGCTTCCCGTGGGGTGTTGCTGCCCCTGGAGCCCACGGCCCTCATCCCGCCCTCCACTCTTCCTTGGGCCCCTGCGGCTCCTTCTCAGTCCAGCCCGGAGCTAGACCTGCCTGCTCACCCCCAGCAATGCCTCGGTGCCAGCAGTCATCCACAGGGGAGGCTGGGCACTGTGTACCAAGGGACGGGCAGGGAGGAGCTCTGGGCAGCGGGCTGCGGGGCAGCTCCGGTGGCTGGCGGGCCAGGCACCGTGCCTGTTGCTCACCAGAGTGCCAAGGGCATATTCTGCTGAGCCCCCTGCTTCTTATGCTGATGCTAATCTGGGCACTTACAGAGAGCCGCAGGATTTCTGTGCCCCCCGCCCCCCAGCAGATGTCAGGCTTACCAAATCCAGGGCCGGAGGAAGTCGTAGCCACAAGCAACAGGCTGTGGTTAGCTGATTGTCTACAACTCCCCAGGACCACTGCTTGCTTTTCTCCCTCCTTTCCTGATCTTTTTGTCCCACAAATGAGGGACCAAGAAATAAAAGGAAGAGACCCAGGGCTGAGTGAATTTCTGTACCTCTTGACCATAAATGAAGAGCATTCAGAATGTATGCTGAACAGCTTGCAAATTAGAGCCCATTATTTCTGAGTGGATGACTCAGGCACTTTTATAATTGGAATGTAGCACTGGGTATGGATCATTCTCCGTCTGTTGTTTTTGCTCAGAAACATTTTGCTACAAGCAGAAAGTTCTTAAAAGTTAATCCAGCACTGCAGTGCCAAGCAAGGCTGGAACAGCCCGCCCATGACCCCGGCTAGGCTGAGTTTGGTGCAGGGCCAGAGTAATGCCAAAAAGAACAGAGAGCAGTCAGCATGGCATCTGTCTCTCTATTGTTCAAAAGCAAGAAACAAGAGAGACGCATGTACCCACACCCATGAATGCACGCGCATGCACACACACACACACGCACGCACCCATGCACGCACTCTGCTGGAAATTCAGCCCCTGGCCCTGAATACATGTTGATTGTCTCTGAAAAGAGAGGAGGCACTTGATGAATAATTTACCTTTTAGAAAAAATTCTCTGGAAACTTTGCCCACGTAACATTGCCAAACATTTTCCCCGGTGAGTTTCCAGCAGGCCAGGGAAATGGGATGCTGCTGGCCTTGCCAAGCAGGACATCAGCTCCTCCCTTCTCTGTGAGAGCTGGAGTCACTTCTGCTGAGACAGGCGCCCAAAGGGGCACCACCCACGGCCACCTTCCTGGGAAATGACAGCCTCTTGCAAGCTCTCTCCTGCCTGAGCCAAGATGAGCATCATTAACAGGCTGGCCCTCCAGCCTCAGTGGCATTTTCACAGAGGGGACCAAGTGACCGATTGTCATGGGAGGGAGAGGTTTAATATTTCTGTCGCGCTGTAATGAAATGCCCATGTCTCGGTGTTTTCTGCAGGGCTGAAGTGGTATTAGGAAACATCATCAAGAAGAAGGGATGGAGGTAATTAGCCTGTTCTCTCCGGGTCAGTGTCCAGGGTGCACACAGGGAAAAGCCCAGGGCAGGCCGGAGGGAGGGAAGAGGGCACCAAGGGGCAACCACGCGTGCCGGGTCGTGGGCGAGCACTGGCTCGGGTCCCGCTGACCTGCTTGCCTCTTTAGCAGGGGAGTGCTCAGGGCTGGCCAGTCCTTCAAAAGCCAGGAAGGCTCAGAATTTTTCTCACCAGGAAGGGGAGAATGTTCCAGAGCAGAGAGCAGCCCTGTGCTCCCTCCAGGGAGCTGACCTCCACCTCTGGTCCAGCAGGGATTCGGAGGGCCAGGGTCCCGGGTTGCACACTGACATGTGTTAGGCCAAAAAAGATCCAGACGTGAGGACTTCCCGGATGGCCTGGGGAAAGCAGAGGGTGTAGCTGCTCAAGAGACGGACAGTCCTTCTCTCTGCGCTTGGAATCCACCCATTCTCACTGTCCCTGCCTGGAAAGGGACCGCTGTCTGAGCTCCCTGGCAGGGCTGTTCTGGGGCTCAGGGGCCCGAGTCTGTAAGACACCTACCCAGCTCGAGGCTGGACATCACACTCATCCGGGGAGGGGCAGCCCTGTGACTGGTCACCACAGCCCCCACCATGTCCCCCCACCCACCCCTAAGCAGCTCAGAAGCCTGAGGTCCCTTGTCAGACAGGGTTCCCACCTTCCTTGGGACAGACTGGGCTGGGCACTTACCCACACTTTGGGACCCCTTAGGGCCCGCGTGTATTTTCAGGAACAGTAAAAGCAGTTATAAGGCTGGGCCCACCCCCCACCCCTCAGCCCCTGGACACAGATGAATGACACCCCTCTTCTTGCCCCAACAAAGTTGTTTGTTTCTTCTTGACTCTAATTCATCACAAGACAAATCCTCCTCACTCCATCATCAAAGGAAATTGCACATATTACTGATTATATCTTAGGCGAATACACAGGCCACCCCACCCCACCCCCCACCCCTGTCCCCAGCCTGGAGATGAAGCTCAAGGGGAAATACAGCTTCTGGGCTTTGAGAAGCTGTTTCCGGGGCAGCCCCCCCACCCCCACAGGAGGAAAGCCCATTGGCACCTCCCCCCACTTTGGGAAGGGTCTCCGTCAGAGGTGGCCTGCAGGGGCCGCCCGTCCCGCCAGGACCAGACAGGTGTCAGCCCTTGGCCCTCGTCCATTCCTTTCCCTCCAGGCTCTCTATCACCCAAACCCCAACTCCCTCTCACCCAACTGCCCCTCCCTCAGTGCCCCCCCGCAAGGCTGTGCCACACACCACTTTCTGAAACCCTATCTCTGGCCTGTAGGGGAAGAGCCAGACTGCTCGGCCCCTTCGCCTCCTTCCATCCTCAACAGAGCACGGCAGCCCCTCCTCTTGACCTCCTGGGAGTGTGCTCCCCGCACCTGCTTCCTCCCAGACAAAACCCACTGGAGCTGGGGGAGGGGGGGTGTGTTGGGGGGTTTGGGGGGGTTTGGGGGGCTTGGGGCGGGTGCTTCCATGCCCTAGGCTGGGGCTGTCTGCTCCCTCCCCAGTGTGCCTCCTTCTCTGGGCTCCACTACACTAGACTCCACCCTCTCCTGGCCCCCACTGCCAGACTGTGGGTTACACAGTGAGTTAGTTACATCCATGGCGGATCTCCAGGCTCCATGGGGAGCCCAGGACCCTGGGCTCGCACCACCACAAACATCGAATGATCCAGAGGTGTCCGTTTCACACCCCATGCTCCCAGATGAGAAGGGTGCTCAGGACCCCCTGTGAAAGCTGAAGACACCCCCCACCACGGCCACGGCCAGTAACACTCCTTCTCTTATGTTCCGCAGACGGTCCAGCCTGGTCATCACCACCAAGATCTTCTGGGGAGGAAAGTAGGTGCAGCAGCAGGCGATGCTCCCGGCTGGGGCCAGGATTCAGGGGGCTCCTGGGGGCGTGTGTGCAGCCGTCTGCCCTGGCTGATGCCCATCCCTATTGACATCACCTTCCAGAAAAGCAGCTTTGGCTGAGTTGCCTTTTACTCAAAGCTTGTTTGATTTTTATTTTTACTTTCCCGGGTTTGTTATTTTTTCTGATTACAAAGGTAACATCCTAAAAATTCTGGAAAACACAGAAATTTCACAAACTGTCTAAACCATTCCACCCTCCCTGGACACAGACCATCCGTGCCAGTTTCCAGGGGTCTGTCCCCACATTCTCTCTAGGGCTTGACAAAATCAGCTTCATAGGAATTCTAAATACGATTCATTCTTAATTTAAAAAAAAAAAACCAAGGGAAACAGACAAATTGAAACGCAGACCCCCCCCCCACGGCCAGCCCCCTCCTCCCCCAGGATAAGGAAACAGCAGCCCTTCTCCCAGCCTGCATGAGCATACCCTTGTAGCCTGTGGTTTATCCCCCAAGTGGAATCAGACTGCACGTGGCATGCACTGACCTACTTTTTTTTGCCTAACATTGCATCATAAACATTTTCCCCAAAACCGCTTGCAACATCACACACGCTGTTGTCCTGTTTTTCAGAGCGGAGACGGAGAGGGGCCTTTCCAGGAAGCACATCATAGAAGGTGAGGGGGGAGCTCTGGCCCCGCACGGCCCCCCACACCCACGGCATCCTCGTGCAGATGCATGAGTGAAGAAAGCCAAGTGCCCCTGCCCCACCACTGATGCACCCCGTGCTCTGGTCCGACCCTCCCCTTCCACCCAGGCTCCAGGGCATGAGAGCAGGGCCCCTGGTGCCCTCGGATGGGCAGCGTTGTCTCAGGGAAGACAAGACGGGCCTGGGTTGCAACTGGGGCCGGGCCCTATGCTGACTGGGGATCCTGAGCAAGGGACCTCACTTCCCCAAGCCCCTGTGGCAACATCTGTAAAATGAGTGTGGGAAGAGTACCCACCTCTGGGGCTTTGGGGAATCAGGAAGAACCCAGGAGGTGTTGCATGTCAGACAGAGCCGGGCACTCCGCACACAGGAGTGTCGAGAGAGAGGCAGAGAGAGGGAGAGGGTCTGGCTTATCCTATGATTGTATTGTCTTCATGCTTTTTCTATCTGTGCTCATTTTCATCAAGGTAATACACTCACTCCTTTAAAAATCAAATGATTAGGGGCGCCTGGGTGGCTCAGTCGGTGAAGCATCTGCCTTTGGCTCAGGTCATCATCCCAGGGTCCTGGGGTTGAGTCCCACAGCATCGGGCTCCCTGCTCTGCCGGGAGTCTTCTCCCTCTGCCCTTCCCCCTGCTTGTGCTCTCTCTCTCTCAAAATAAATATATAAATAAACTCTTTAAAAAAAAAATAAATGATTAGGAGGCTTTGCTGCCCACCCCCAGCACCAGCACTTGACTCTGCAGCTCTGTTCTAAGTGCTCATTGGTGATTTGTGCCTTTGGTGCAGGGACATAGATGCAGTTCCCCCTCCGTGTGGGACTACCTAGCTCTCCCTGTCCCCACGTGGGCCACCAGGGGGCCTAGGAAGTCACCCCTTCATTCAGTCACAGAGCATTTGGCCTCCCACCACCACCCGCTTTGGGGTGTGGGCCCCCTTCAGTCCTGGCTTTTCTTTTTCTTTTTTTTTTAAGATTTTATTTATTTGACAGAGACACAGTGAGGGAGGGAACACAAGCAGGGCGAGTGGGGGAGGGAGAAGCAGGCTTCCCACCGAGCAGGGAGCCCGATGCGGGGCTCGATCCAGGACCCCTGGATCATGACCCGAGCCGAAGGCAGACGCTAACGACTGAGCCACCCGGGCGCCCCTAGTCCTGGCTTTTCTTCGTCTCAGGCGGGGCACGTGCCCACATGTACCCCCACACAGTCCGACAGCTCCTGGGGCCACGGGCCTCGCTTCTCTCTTCTCTTGCTCCCTGAGCCTCCAGTGCCTGGGTGAGGGCCCGGGAATGTCTGTGCCGAGGGTGACGGTCCCCTCTGACTCCTCCCCCCAGGTCTGAAGGCCTCCCTGGAGCGGCTGCAGTTGGAGTACGTGGACGTGGTGTTCGCCAACCGCCCAGACCCCAACACGCCCATGGAAGGTAGGTTCTCTCTGATGGCCGCTGCCCCCGGGGCCCCGCGGGGCACCCAGGCTGCTGGTCACAGGCGGCCGGGGGCGGGGGCGGTGGGGATGAGATCAGCCTGGGGGGGGTTCCTCACCGCCCACAGGTGCGCCCTGGCGCCTCCAGGCCGACACCCGCCCCATCCTGGCTTTGGGTCTGCGCCTACTCCCAGCCCGGTTCCACGCCCCCTCCTGGGTTGAGAACTGTGTGGAATGTTCTCTCCTCTTAGCTGTTAGTATTTTGTAGCTAAATGAAGTCACGAGATGGCTCTTTGCAAATGCTGTGTTCTTTCCAATCACATTCCCGTTCTGCGGGGAGGCTTCAGGGGTCTTTTGCTCTGGGGGATAAATTGTTACTTAGAGGAGAAAAAAAAAATGTGCAGTGCTTTGGGAAACAGTTTTGGTTTCTTTGGCGCTTATTTATTCTTCCCACTCCCGCGATCTCCGCCCCTCCAACACCCCCCACCCCCCAACTTCCTGCTTCAGACTCATTTGTGCTTTGCTGCTTCAGGGATTTGGAAAATTAAGTTGGGTTCAAGTTATTTTTTCTTCATTTGTTTATCTATCTATCTATATATATACCGTGCACACGTGCGTGTATATATATGTGTATGTGGTGTGTGTGGTTGGTTTGGGGTTTTTTTGTTTTTGTTTTTGTTTTTTAACAAAACAAGTACCCTGTGAAGGAGATTTGTGCTTTCTTCCCCTGCCCTCTGTCATACCGCGCCTCTCCGTGTTCCCACAGCTATAAACTCTGGTCTCTTTAAATCTTTCTTTATCACCAGGGGACCCATTTAGTTCCTCCAAGTCAAGGACATTCATCATAGAAGGTACACAGTACCCTTAGCCCGACTATTGACTCCTGTGTCCAAGCTGCATTTTATGAGACAGTGGTTTTATTTACACCACTCTCTTCCCCCCAAGACAAACTTCTCCATAAAATGCATAAGGAAAAATAAGCGCCCTATGAGAACATCTTGCAAGTGAGGGAAAAGCAAAGCGGTGTGGAGCCCCGGCCCCCGCCCCTGCCTGGCCCGCCTGTCATTTCATCCCTCCCGCCCCCCGCCTCCCCCCACCTCCCCGTGCATGACCCGCCCCCCCCCCCCCCCCCCCCCCCCCCCCCCCTCCGCCTTGCCCTGCCGTGATCCTCTGGGGCGGGGGGGGGGAGGGGGGCCGGCTGTCTGGCTGTCTGCCAGGGCTCTTCTTGATTTGGGGATGCTGTGATCAGCGCCTGAAACCTTGACCCTGGATGGTCTGGGAGAGGGTTGGGGAGATCAGGGACCCCCAGGAGCGAACATCAGGGACCCCAGAACATGTGGCTTCCAACAAGTCTTAACTTCATAGGGCATGTTTGCGAAGCTCCAGCCTCAAGCAGAAGCAAAACCTACCAGTGGCAAGCTGCCCCATCAGGGCACGCTGGCTCCTCCGTGAGCATGGCGGCCGCAGTGGGGCTCACGCCCCCTGGACGGGCTGGGCCACCTGCCACTCTCACCCCTTGCCATGCAGCCTGACCCCTCCATCAAAACGGAGTCATTTGCCTCCTTGAACAATACCTACGTGAGTTGGCAAAACTCTGAGATGTGGAGCAGCCTCTGGCCGTGCTTGGTCTCTGCCTGCCCCTAAGCTAAGGGCCTCCCCAGGGCCCCACATCAAGGGCAGGCCACAGTCTCCCCAGGAGCCAGGCTGCATCCCACAGAGGATGGGCTCCTGCCCGCCAACTGGCTGCCACCTGCCCCTTCCCATGTATTACTTCTAACGGGGCAGGAGGTGCTGTGGGTCCTGGCAGCAGCTAGACGGATTTGGTCCTGCTTCTGTTCAACAGCATTAAATATTGAGGTGAAGGACAGCTGTCCCTAGTTGTCCCTGTTCCTGGGGCCACCAACATGAGTGTGGGCAGAAGCACAGAGTGCCGTGCTCCCGTGTGTGGGCTGCACCGCCCGCCGGCCACTGCCCAGGGACCCCTTCGCACTCAGGTCAGCCTCCGGCTCTCACAGGCTCCTGCCCCAGTGGCCCCCGGGGGCTCCCCTCTCTGCACGGAAGGGGCGGTGCAGGGCATCATGTCCCGTCCCTCATTTCCCCCAGTCAGGAGAGAGCCGGGCTCCAGGGATTGAGAGCCAGCCAGGCTGGTGGATGAGATGCTGCATGGTCACCAGGGGCCCCTCAAGGTGTCTGTAAAGAACACGACAAGGACAGCGGGCCGGGAGCCTAAGCTCGGCCTTGGATGTGGGCAGATCTCTTCCTGGGGCCCTCAAGCCTTCTGACAGGGGTGGTCTCCTTCGCACTGAGTGGTTTCGGGGGGGCCCCTGGGGGTCGGGGGTCCGGCTTCCCTGCCAGCCCTCCTCCCAAGGAGAGGCAGAGAGGAGCCCAGTCCCTGATCTTGGAGGGAAGGAGAGGGCAGGGTTGGCCTGCAGGCCTGGAAGCGGACTTGGGCGAACCCACTGACACCAGCACCCCAGGAGCCCCAGCTACCTTAGCTTTCTACTGAAAGAGGGGACCTCGGCCAAAGGGGCGCTCAGGGACCCAGGATGGGTGGGAAGTGACACCCCAAAACAGAGGTGCTGCTCTCTGCAGGAGAAAGTGCCCGAGGGCTGGTGCCATTCCAAGGGGGAGCTTTGTGAACAGAGCCCGCCTTCTCCTTCCTTCCTCCGGCACTCCCACCTCCTGCCGTCTTCAGGGACCCCAGCATCCCCCCCCATCTCGGCAGCAGATGAGGAGCAAGCCACCTGGGGAGAGATGGGACTTCCAGGGGTCAAGGTTGCTGCTTCGTTTCTAGACACTTGTTCTTCGTCCCTACTTCCCGCCCTGCCTTTGGCAGTGGGACTTGCAAGCACTGTATGGGATCAGTGAGGAATCTGATGAGTACCCCTTCCCCCCATCCCCCGCAAAGCTAAGAGACAGCTCGAACTTTTTCAATTGGAGGCCAAGTCTGTTTTAAAAACCACAACATCCCCGTGGACTGAAACCGCCTGGCATGGGAGCGGTAGGAAGGCTGTAACCGGCAGATTTCTATTTCTCAAAAACTTTTTTGAGTCCTGGGAAGAATCTGTCGTGTCGCGGGGGGGTGAGGGTACCTTGCCTGATACCAAGCTGGTTTGAGAACCTGGGGTGGATACAAACAGGGCTTTCCGTGTCTACTTCCGGCTCTGGGGGACACCAGGGGAGCTCCACTCCGCAGCCCCCACCCTCTGGGAGCATCCAGGGCCCCGCCCTGACCTTTGTCCTGACAGATGCCACTGTGACCTCGCCGTTCAATCTCAGATCCCAGTGCGAATCTGGAATAGCCCGAAAAGGCAGTCAACTGTGTTGACTTCCTGTTGCCTTTTGCCAATCTGATTCTTCCCCCAAACTAGAGAACCCACACCCCCCCTTCGACAGTCCAAAACCACATTCTCTGATCTCACCCCTCCCTCGTCTCTCCAGTCTGCCATAGGGATGCCACAGTCCATCTAGAACCCATTTTTCAAAGATCCTTTACAAATACTTGTAACTATTTGGGGAAATGGTTTTCAAGACCAGCTTCTTGGATTGTGGTTCACTTTTTTTTCTGTGGTCCCTGAAAGCCCCTGCCACACCCGACTTTGGAGCCAGGAAGTACACTGCTTGCAAGACACCTTTGCAGCTCACCCCCTCCTCCTGGCGCCCCACCTGTATTTGCAGAATGTCCTCAGGCTGGGCCCCACGCCCCCGGTCACCTCACCCCCAACCTGCGCTTTCCCCTTCTCTCCCGACAGAGACCGTGCGCGCCATGACCCATGTCATTAACCAGGGGATGGCCATGTACTGGGGCACATCGCGCTGGAGCTCCATGGAGATCATGGTACGGCGGTGACCTCTCCGCGTGTGTGTGTCCGTGGGGCATGGGCTCCTAGCCCCATTCTAGGGATGAACATCCAGGACTCTGGCAGATCCAGTGCCACTGGTCCCAATGGCACGGGTAACTGGGTCCTACAGCGAAGAACAGTTTGGTGACGTGTGGCAGCTACCTCCGCAGGCAGGGCTCTTAACTTGAATCCCAGCACTGTGTGGCCCTGGACAGATGGCTTAACCTCTCTGAGCCGTGGTTTCCCCACATGTAGAACAAGACCACTGGGATGACCTAGCACCCCCCCGCCCCAGGAGGCTGTTCTGAGGACTGTCAGAGAGAACAGGTGTGAAGCTCTCAGTAGAAGAGCTGGGGCTCAGCTAGCACTCGGCAGCAGTAACTGTTACAGCCACTTGCCCTGAGCTTTCATGATGCTCCAGTTGCCATTAGATTTGAGGGCTCGTGTGGACTAACTCCCATTTAATCCTCACAACACCAGCACCCTACAAGGTAAGCGTTGCTGTCATCCTGTTTTTCCGACATGGGTGTTGAGGCACAGAGAGGTTAAGTAATACACCCAAGGACCCATGCTGAGGTCAATCTCCAGCTCTGCAGCTCTGGGCCTGGGCTGCCTCAGAATGTGAGCTGCTGTTGGGAGCTCGGCTGCCACCTCATAATCCCTGATGGTTCCCCTCACCCACACTTTCAGGAAAGCATCCCCTCCCCTGTCCTTTCCCTCCAAGGAGCCATCAGAGACAGAGGGCTGCAGATGTTTCTTGATATTTCTGGGTATCCCAGAAGGGGCAGCAGGGTAGCTGACCCCCCCCCCACCCTCAGAGGCAGGCAGCTGGGGGCCCAGGGGCTTAGAGAGCAGAGGTCTGGGTACAAGGTCTTCCCAGGACTGTCTCCAAAGGCTGACCTTTCACCCCTGCTTCCAGGCTCCCTCCCAGCCTCAGCCCTTCCCATGCCCTTCCTCCCAGAATTCCCCACACCCCGGTGTCCTTGGAAGGGGGTTTCTCCTCTGGTGAGTCCCAGATTTCTGCTTCATCAAAAATATTAAGCAGAATTTCCAAGTTCAACCCAATTCTAGAAGGCTGTGATTTTAATCTGCCTTTGGAATTTGCAGCATTAATGAGCATTTGGCATTTTTCTGAAGCTGCCTAGAGCCAGCACGGGGCTCACCAAGGTGTCAGTGTCTTATCCCCATTTTACAGATGCAGTAGCTGAAAACCAAAGGGGAAAGGGCCTCTCAGGCTGGCCAGCAGGGCTTCCCCAGGAGTCTGTCTGGAGACATCAGCCCTGGCTCACACCCATCCGGTGGGAGTGGAGGAAGAGTCAAGGCCTTGAGCTCCAAGTCCCAGAAATGGGCTGATGCTGGCCACTCTCCCCTCTGCGTAGCATTTCCTGCCACTGCCACCATCATCCCAGGGCTGGGGCCCTGGAATCATGATCTTGATAAAAACAGTAACAGCATAGCAGGCAGGCACTGTCCTGAAGGCTGTGAACAACGTTGGCTCATTTGAGCCTCAACGACAGATGGGGAAACTGAGGCAGAGAGGGGCAAGCTCCTTGTCCAAGGCCACCCGGCCAGTAAGTGCCAGAACCCAGTCTCACAATTGAGTTGTGCATTCCCCCCATGCCTTCAGCTGTGGGGTTCCCCCTCTTTTCCCAGCAGAGGGGGTGAGGGGACAGGCTGTTTCCCAGGAAAGCCGTGAATCTCCCCCGGGGAAGGAGGGTGGGGAGAGAGCAGGTGGGCCAGCTGTTTCCTGGGGATGCCTTTGTGTCTCCTGCCCCCTGCTGCCCACGCAGCCCCCAGACCCACTGACGGACAGGTACCATCCATGGCCCTATCTGCACCCCTAGGAGGCCTACTCCGTGGCCCGGCAGTTCAACCTGATCCCGCCCATCTGCGAGCAGGCCGAGTACCACATGTTCCAGCGCGAGAAGGTGGAGGTGCAGCTGCCTGAGCTCTTCCACAAGATAGGTGCGCTCCCCCGCCCGGCCCCCCCTTCCCCCTCTTTCCCTCGCCCCGCCCGCCCCCTCCGCCCCCTCCGCCCCCTCCGCCCCCTCCGCCCCCTCCTCTCTCCCTGGTTCCGCCCCGCCCCGCCCCTTCCCCGCCCCTGCCCCTCTTTCCCTCTCGCCCCGCCTCCTCTCTCCCTTGCTCCGCCCCCTCGCCCCCGCCCCGCCCCCGGAACCCTGGGCCTGACCTCGCCTGGTTTTCCTCCCCAGGAGTGGGTGCCATGACCTGGTCCCCTCTGGCCTGCGGCATCGTTTCCGGAAAGTACGACAGTGGCATCCCGCCCTACTCGAGAGCCTCCCTGAAGGTGAAGGAGCGAGCGGCCGGGCTGGGGGGAGGGGACGGGCAGGCGACAGGCGTTTTGGCCTGACGGGGCTTTGGGTCCGCCGCCCGGGGCACGCTGGGCCACTGCGGGGACGGATCGAGGGCAGGGGAACCTGGAGTCCCTGCTGACCAGATCCCACCTCTGGAAAGGCTGCCGTCTTCACGGGATGCGCCCGAGCTGAAAAAGCCCTTCCACTCCCTCGCCACCCCCCACCTCAGTTCAGTACCTTCACAGCCTGGGCTGGGTCCACCTGTGCTATTTGGGATGGCCCCTGCTGCGGACAGATTCCCCCCTGCACATTCTGTGGCCCATCCCGAGACCTCTGGGCTGAGGGCTGCAGAGCTGCTTCATTCATCACTCAGGGGTGATCTCCTGGGACGAGTGCCCCCCAACATAGACACATCTCTGCAGTGGGGTTGCAGGAGGATCTCCAAAATGCAGGGGAGGAGGGGCAGGCAGAGAAAGGCCTACCCAGGTCAGGGCAGATCCAGCCCCGGAGCCCCCCTGCCTCAGGTTCGAGGGCGGGATGGCCTGTCCCACCCACTCCTGCCGAATCCACAGCAGAGTCAGGGAGTTCCCTGGAAGGCATTGCAATCCCAGGGGTGGGGGCAGGTGAAACCACAACTCCCCCAGAGCTTGGGAAAGGGTTCCTCAGGGCCAACAGCCAAAGCATTCCTTCCCAGGCTGCCCAGCTCCTTGTCCTGGCTCAGGGGCCCAGCCTCAGCGAACCCACAGGCTTTGGGCTTCACGTTCAACAGGCCCCATCCTTCCAGCTGCCCAGCTCTGTTCTACAGGGGACGCGGTTGGGCAGGGGGTGCGGATGCTGCCTTGGCACGGATCGCAGCCATCTGCATACGGAGGTCCAGGTGACCTGCCCTCACCTGTGGGCTGTGCTCTTCATCCCCCACACCCAGGGCTACCAGTGGCTGAAGGACAAGATCCTGAGTGAGGAGGGCCGGCGCCAGCAGGCCAAGCTGAAGGAGCTACAGGCCATCGCCGAACGCCTGGGCTGCACCCTCCCCCAGCTAGCCATAGGTAACAGGACTTGGGGGGTGGGGCTGACCATTGTCCCTGGGGCCGCTGCCTCCATTAGCCAGACATAGATAATGGGTCCTGACATTCATGGGGAGAGAAGGGTGGGGGGTCGTTCCTGAGCACGGGGGCCACCTCTCCCCCCCCGGAAGCAGTTGGTACCAGGGCTCTCCCAGAACCCTGTCCAGCCCCATCCCCCCGACCCAACATGCTGGACCCTCCTGGGTACCCTCACCCCAACGACCGAGAGGCTGGATCTCCGTGGCCCAGTTAGGGACAGGGCAGAACCAGGAAGGGCCCCTGCCCTGGGTGTGGTGTGTGTCCCTCACCTCTGGTCTTCCTGCCCCAGCCTGGTGCCTGAGGAACGAGGGAGTCAGCTCCGTGCTCCTAGGTGCTTCCAGCGCAGACCAGCTAATGGAGAACATTGGAGCAATACAGGCGAGTTGGGGAGGGGGCTGCTGGATGTGTCCCCCCAGGCCCTTGGTCCGAACTCAGGGCCGCAGTCAGTCATTCATCCAGCCCATGTTTTTTGGGCACGTGCAATGTGCCAGGCACTGTTCTAAGTGTCTGGGCTACAGCAGAGATCCCCCAGAAGCCCTGCTCTGGAAGATCAGTGAGCACTGAATGCAAGACATGGGGAAGTTAGAATCTGAGGGTGAAAGGCCCTCGAGCAAGGGCAGGCTTAGGGTCAGGTTAGGTGGGCGCACAAGGGAGGGCCGTGGGCCCAGGCTGAGGGGGCTCGTGGGGTAGGCTTGTTGAGAAAGTGACAAGTGAGCAAAGTCTCCGAAGGTGCGGAGTGGGATCTGCAGACACCTGGAGGACACCGGTCCAGGAGCAGAGGGGACACAGGTGGTACCAGTGGGCGTGGCCTGGAGCAGAGGGGGCGGGGCAGTGCCCGGGACACTAGGGACTTTGGTGGTTGTTGAGTGAGACAGGAGCCCCCGAGAGCTGAGGAGGGGCCCAATCCCCACCTACATTTTAAAAGGATCCCTTTCTCCCCGGCTGCTGAGCGGAGGAAAGGCTTTAGGGAACAGGAGGGGGTGCAGGGAGATCTGCGGGGAAGTGACAGCAGACCCCCTCAGAGAGGGTTGGATCCTGGGTGTTCAGGAAGGGGTGTCTGGCCCTGGAATCTGAATTTTGTGCCTTCTAGATGGTTCTAAAGCATTCTGGAGCTTGAGGCGCAGAGATAAACCCCAGGCAGGCTTCCTCTCTGCCCTAGACCTTCTGGAACACAGAAGCAGCATAGCCAGCCGATGCTCCGGCTAGAAGCATGATGTGATGAGGCAGGACAGGCCAGCGGTGGCTGGAAGATTGTCACCCAGCCTCCTCCGAAGGCCAGGCCAGTCTTGTTGGTGGGATTCTGATTAGCTTTTGTCCTCACACACAGGTCCTTCCGAAACTGTCATCGTCCATTATCCACGAGATTGATAGTATTTTGGGCAATAAACCCTACAGCAAAAAGGACTACAGATCCTAAGAAGCCCCCGGCCGCTTGCCCGGACACTTTCCGTTTCCCTCCTAGTCTCTCTTGTTCGCTCGCTTAAGCTGTTTTGAAGCCATGTCAGGGGTGTGGTTTGCGTCAAAAAGAAAACATCACAGCGAGATGTCGTCGGGGAAAAGGTCTCAAAAGTTGCTGCAAGACACCATTCGCTGCTTCGCGGGACCGAACTCAGATCCATGCCCGGGAGACCGCATTGACAGGGCAGGATGTTGGAGCCGTCCCGCCTGAGCCCGCCTGAGCCCGCCTGCAGCCTCTGCTCGCCCTCCAGGAAGAAAGCACCACGGCTGCTCCCGGCCTCCGCCCTTCCCAGAGACGCCTCCAGTCCAGGCCAGGCCGAGACCCGGTTGGGTCCTGGGGGCAGCAGGGCTAGCCTCGCCTCTGCTGAGGACCCCCACCTGGTGTCAGGGGTGGGAAAGAGGAAACCAGGCCTGGCTCTTCCCGTGGCCCCCTCCGCTGGGGGTCTCCCTCACCCTCCTTCTTGCCAAGGGCTCCCAGCATTTTACGATGGGCCTGACTCCAGATTCATTCTGCACCCTCTTCAGCACCGCCACCTGCCCCCACGGGTCTCTCGGGCTTTCCAAGCTGTCCCTTGACCCCCACCCACCCCCTTGCTGGCAGGGGCTGAGATCCAGGAGGATTCACTATCAAGTGGGGCCCACAGGAAGTTCGGGGGTCTAACTGAGCGCATAGCCCTGCCAACTTCCTCCCTGCACACAGTTGATGAGCCCCATGCCCAGAGCAGCCCTGAGCGCTGGGGAGGGGCCTGAGGAGCAGGCTCCAGCCCAGGTCCCTCCAGGCCCCCACCTGCCCTCCTGGCCAGGTGCTCTGTCCACCGCCCCTCTGTCCTGGCCGCAGAAGGCCCTGAGGTCGCGCATACGTAGCTGGACTGTGGCTGCCGACCACGTGCAGGGAGCACACCTCTGCTCTGCCTGGGTAGTGGCCTCGGGTCTGCAGAGAGACCACACTTAGGCCTTCCAGGGAGGGCAGGTCCCTGGGGATTTCTGTGCTGCACACCCAGGGGCTGGAGGGCCTGAACATCTAGCAGGAGCCCCCACAATCTAGGAAAAGCCCCCAGGAGCCTCTCCCTGGAGCAGTGCCTTCTTCAAGGCCTCCGATCCGGTCGGGGTGAGGAACCCCATGTTAGGGTGCTAAGTCTGGGTGCCCAGAGCTGCTTCCCTGGGCAGACAGGCAGCACTACCACCCCCGGACTTCCACACACAGCCCGGGAAGAGGTCAGGATGGCTGGGGTTAGTCATTCCCTGCCGTGCACCCCCCCCCACCCCCCTCCAGGCTGGAACAGACTGAGGCCAGGGAGTTGGGGAAGGACAGACAGAAGCGTCAGCCCCAGGCTAGGAGGATAGAGGAGGGGAGGGGGCCTGCAGCCAGGAGTCCCAGCCCCCACGGCCCTGAAGTTTCGGCCTCTGCTGGCTATGTGGGGGTTAGGGCCGGGAGCCCACGCTGTAGGACGGCTGTGTACCTCCAGTCCGGGCGGCCCCCACCCTGACACCCCCCACACCCTCACCCTCACCACAGCAGGCACGGCCGGGCCTGCTTTGCCCTTCAGACAAGCTGCTGGTGGAGGGGCTCCTCCCTGCCATTCTCAGAGGGCCTACTGGCCCGTCCTGGCTGGGCTGAGGCCTGAGAAAGCCACACATGCAAGGGGGGAGGCAGGGAGGGGGACAACTTCCATTCCTGACATTTGTGCTGACCCTGGAGTCTAGAACCCTCCCTCCTCCTCCCGGACCAGGTCCCTGGGGGTCATCTGCACAGTGTGGGTGTGGGGAGGGGGCGAGCCTGTCCCCGCAGGGCCCCCCCCCCCACCTGTGGCCACTCCCACCACCGCATGGGATGGGCAGGGACCCAGTGCTCCGGGCCAGGCAGCCCTGGCAGTACCGAGGGACCGGACTGCCCGCCCCTCACTGGGGAGAGGAGCTGGGCCCCCTTCACACGGCTGCCCCCCAGGCTGCCCACTGCCGGAGGATGGACCAGGGCTTGCGGTGGGCCCGAGGGAGCAGCCGCTGCCCCCTCACCAGGAGCCACACCTGGGAAGGCCCCAGGTTCACCAGAGGGAGGGGAGGGCCCTCAGAGTGGAGCCGGGCCACGGCCGAAATGCCCATTGTGAGGACCCGAGCAGCTTCCTGGCCCCCCAGGGCGCCGTCCCCAACCCGGTTCTGAGGTGTCCTCTCTTTCCCACAGCCACTGGCAGGGATGACAGGGCTCTGCTTCCTGGGGGAAGGCCCCGGACTTAGAAGGGGGCTGGTGTGGGGGAGGGGGTCAGGTGGGGCCCAAGGGCAGCCAGAGTCTGGAGACAGAAAGGCCAGGCAGAGGCAGGCCCTGGAGTGGCCCAGGCCCCACCAGGAGAGACCACTCCCCAGGAGCCCCAGCTGCCCGCCCACCAGCCTCTGGCCCTCCCCTTGAGGCAGAGTTTGCCCGAGGGGGCCCCTGGGGAGCACCCCACACAGGACGGAGGCCCAGGCTGAGGGCAGGGCTGGGCTCAGTCTCCCTTGCTGACACGCGGAGCCCCCGCCACTTCTCATCCCAAACCCCGTGCGCATCCAAGGTCCCGAGGAACGACAGAGGGGCTTACTCCGTCTTCTGTCCTCTTCCCGTCGTGTAAATAATGCGCTTTTCTCCTCTCCCCGTTTTTTTAACGACCGTGACTCCTCAGCTAAGTGCATTCCCTACCGTAGGCAGAGACGGCCTCGCACCTCGCGCTCGCAGACGACACCCGGCCGAGGTACAGCCACCATATTTATGGAATGACAAATAAAACCCCAGCCTGTCGGGGGTCTGCGGCTTTCTGCTCCTCTCGTCTCCAGGGGCCGCGTGGGCAGTGGGGAGGCGGAGTGGGGGGGAGGCTGCCACCTGCAGGGGCTGGCAGACTGGGCCCCCTGAAATCCTGACACTGGGGTAAAGGGTCCAGTTGGGGAAAAGGGCCCTGGGGGGGCGGGGGGCTGAGACTGGGGACTCTGAGGCCTGCCACCGCCCAAGTGATTTGGGGATAGGGTGTCCCCCCAGTACCCTGCACACACACGTTCTCTGTTGCCGGGAGCTACTGTGTTGAGTGCAGTGAGATCAGGGCCCAGGGAGGCCCCTAGGGTGCCACTGGACGCTCAAGGTTTCTCTGATACCATGTTGTTTGCATTTAGGGGTGCAGGCAGGAGATACAGGCACTGTCCCCTCATGGGGCCCCCCTTTCCCAGCAAGCCCCTCGGCCTCATGAGGCCATGTCTTCTCAGGTGGGAGGCAGCTTCAGATGACACCCCATCCCCCACAGGCTTCCCCCGTCTCTAGCTCCCACCCCCATCTTAGATGAGTGAGGATCTAGGAAACACTTTGATTGAATCCTTTCCCAAAGGATTTATTAAAACACAGAAAACCGAGACACACACACAGAGTACAAAGTAAAGGGGATTGTGTCGGCTGCAGTCCCTGTCCAGCCGCCCACGTGTCCTGCCAAGGACGGGACAGGTCGCCACTCCCGGGGGCTCAGCTTCTGGCTCCAGCCCCCTTGCTGGGACCCTCCCAACTCACCCCAAAAGCCCCTGGCCCCTTTGCTGGCCTGGGGCTATAACCAGGGCCAGGGGCCCGGCCCCCTTCGCTGGGCCAGATGCCAACCTGGGTGGGGGTCTGCTCCCTCACTCCCCCCCACGCTCCAACGCACAGGGGGCAGGACCCTTCCCTCACCTCCAGCACACAGGAGCTGAGGGGGGCTGGGGGCCCCCAGCTCCACGTCAGGGGTTCAGGACACACACACACACCCAACGGGCCCTTTCTGGGTTATCGCACCTAAAAAAATACTTTTGTTTAAAAAAAATCTGAAAACTAAAAAAAACCCAAAACACAACGCCAATGACTTTGGGCTGATGCACCACGACCTGTAAACTTGCGGAAATAGAAAATGGGGCGGGAGCCAGCTTCGTCGCTGGAGACCACGGTGGGCACGGGGCAGCCGCAGGCGCGGCAGGGGGACCGGAGGCCGAGGCCAGGCCAAGACCTCACAGCCCCGCCTCCCAACCAAGCCCCGCCCCCTGCCCAAGCTCTGGAGGCACTCCTGTCCCTGAGCCCACCCTCTCCATGACCCTCTCGGGCCCTCAAGAGCCCTGGGACCCGACACTTGGGAGCAAGAGCTACAGGGTCACTGGGGCAGGACTCGACCAGCCAGTCCGGGCTGGGGAGGCCCCAGAGGACCCTGGAAAGGGACCCCCGGAGAGCAGGAGGACAGGCATCTGCACCAGGTGTGGGTATCAGCAGGACCTTGGTTGTAACTTGCAGGAAGCCAAGGAGCTTCTGAAGGGGGCTTGCAGAGAGGGTCTCCTCACAGGGACTGCACTTGCAGGGCAGGTATGTGCGAGAGGGGGGCCCTCCGGACATGGTCAGTCCAGCCCATGCGCCTCTTGTCACCTGGGAGCCTAGCAGGCAGTGCATTCTGAAACTGAGGCCCAAAGGTGGTTCGACAGAAAGCCTACTCAGCACTGCTTTAAATAATAGGGTGGCTGGAAACAAAAATGCGGGCTGACGCTGTAGGATTCTGCTTGTACACAAAGCCCCTCGTTCTGTCAGCAGCAAAAACCAAACCCAGCTGGGAGATGCCAAAGCCCGTGGATGCCCCTCTCCCCCACCACCACTCGTGGCAGGAGGTAACTAATAAACTAAGAAGAAAACAGTCTGAGATCCATTTTCCTCTCCCAAACCAGCCGACCAGAAACCCCCTCCCCAACTGCCCGAAGCCCCCCTCCCGGGCCTCCAGGTGCTGACTGTGCAGAGCTGAGCCCTTCCCAGACCTGGCCATTGCACACACCCAGCTCCGGCCCAGTAGAGGAGGGGGAGGCCTGGCATGGAAGCAAAGATGGGGGGACAGAGGGAGGCTTCCTGGGGAGGAAGGGCTGACAGCAGGGGGACCACCAGCCCTTGGGGCAAGGCAGTGGAGATGCGGGCCCCTGCCCTGCCACCACCATGGGCCTCCTGGCTGGACACTCAACACCCACCCACTGTGGCCAAGGTGGGGGGCCAGCACTGTGCCCAATGAGGCCAGCCCCAGGGCTGACCGGAGGTCTGGGAGGGAGTGTCACAGGGCTCTGGGTTGGGAGGGGGGGCTCATGTGGTCACCTCGCCGGAGGCCTGAGCCAGGAGCCGGCGCGCGGCACCCACAGGAACCCCAGTGGACTGGGGCAACCCTGCCCTTCCCAGAAGGCGAGGCCAGCGCTGCAGCATGCACGTCAGGAAAGCTGCGTG